TTGGCTTGAAAATAAATGGCATTCCAATTAATAATAATACAATTAAAGACAAATACTGGGTTTAAAAATTAATACTAAAAAAAAACAAATTTATGACTGTCGGCAGAAACATTCCGAACACCAGAATTTACTTGACTGGGGAGGTTATCAAGCAGGTCACACAATTTAAATACTTGGGATTCATGGTTAACCAAACGTGGGATCCAGATCAGGAACAACAACTTTTCTAAAACTTCGAAGGTTTCTCACAGATAGTAACTTGAACTTCAGCCTCAGATACAGAATGGTGAAGTGCTATGTCTGGTCCGTTTTATTATATTATGGTGTGGAAGCATGGACACTGAAGGTAGCAACAATAAACAAAATTGAAGCCTTCGAAATGGGGACCCTACGACGAATGCAAAGAGTGTCCTGGGTCGACCGTGAGAGAAATGAAGACATTCTCAGAAGAACTGGTCTAGAAGAACGTGGACTCTTTTAGGAAAATAGCCTATTTGGAACACATACTACGAGGAGAACGCTAAAAATCGCGGGGGGGGGGCAAAAGGGGAATAGGCCGAAGGAAGCTATTCTGGCTGAGAAATATTCGTCATTGGACAGGCATACAACAGGACTTCCAGGCACTCCAAGTTGCTGCAATAAATAGAACCATCTGATGAGGAAGAAAAAGATGAACGCCTATGCAGAAATCTGCACGGCACCTTAAGAAGAAGATGCAGGTAAGAAAATTTAAATTTACAGAAAGAGCTTTATAAAAAGGGTTCATTGTGATATTTAAAAATTCACGTTGTCTCGACCAATTAAATCAAAGTCGCATCTACTTAAATTTAAGTTTAGACTATATAAGGCTCATTAAAAGTTTTATTTGGGTACGTTGATAATAGATCTTATGGAAAGAAATATTTATAGATAAATCTGAAGGAAGGAAGGTTTGTGATAGATATAAGTACCGTATTCTCTTTAACTAACTGTCCACTTTTTAAAAAATTTCGAATTAAAAATATTGAAATTATATTTTTGTTACTTATATTATACAGGGTGTCATTGAAATGGTTTAAAAAATGGGGGGGGGGGGTGATGGTACTCCTAAAAATATTAAAAAAAGTTCCTATAAGTATAGGGCGGAAAATGCATATTAAGGGAGTTAGGGGCACTGAAAGGGTGAATTTAAAAAATGGTTGTTTTGAAATTGTAGGCTTAAAAAACGAAATAAAATTTGGAAAAAAATCCTTTGTCATAAATTTTGATCCTAAATCAAATGGTGACACTGAAAAATTATTTGGAAAAGCGGAAAGGGTAGTTTTTGCAAGGGTAGTGGGTTGTTTCGTGAATAATATTTTTTTACACCATTTCAATGATACCCTGTATATTACCTCTGTGGCGGATTCATCTCTCCAAAAAAGTCCAATGGGTATTTCGCCACTGTAAGAAAAGCTACAAAATAAAATAGTTATTTTTTGTAAACACTGCTCCGTTAATCCAACGGAGACTAATTGTCAGCAGGGATTTACCAATAAACAAATTTGCCTAACAGACAAAAAATGCTTATAACGTTTCAAGAAGTATATCTTTTTCCGTCGTAGGAAGCAAAAAAAAACACAAAGAACACAGAACAAAAATATACTAGTAAAAAAATTGTTTTAGTTTTTTTCTTCGCTCTTTCTATTTTTTTTGCTTCTGGCGATGGAACGAGATACTTCCCGAAACGTTAAGCACTTTTTGTCTGTAAGACAAAATTGTTTATTAGTGCTTACAATTGTCTCCGTTGGATTAACGCAGCAGTGTTTACAAAAAATAACTATTTTATTTTGTAGATTATCTTACAGTCGAAAAATACCCATAGGACTTTTATGGAGAGAATTCATATATATCCATAAAATCCATTTAAAAGTCTAGACGCATTATTTCAAAATTTTCTAATTATCCCTAAAAAACTATAATCCGTAAATAGAGAAAAATATAATTCTAAAATGTAATTTTGGCTATAATGAAATTTACTCTATTATATCTAACAAAACTTAAATTTACTTAGTTTACTGAAATATCGAGAGGTATTTAGAGGATATATTTAACAGTTAAGTTGGTATTGAAGAAACTTTTGGTGTACACTATTGTTGTATTATATTCTGTTTAATGGCACTATAACGGTATTGTATAATTATAGTATAAACTAAAGTTGAATTAAAGGGTTAAAGTTTGAGAGTTTGAAAATAATGATAGAGATTTACGTTCGTAAGAAGTTATTTATTGAATTGAATTACAAGAGTTCTAAGTTAACTATGAGAAGTTGGAAAGCACATTATTTTCCTTTGAGAGATTTTCCAGTATTAGTACTTTTGATTTTAATTGTCAATTTTGGTCGTTCTCAGTTCGCAAACTTATCAAAATAAAATACTTTTTTTTTCCATAGCAACTGTTAAAATTGACTTATATCTATCAAAAATAGTAGATAAAATAGTACTTTAACCGCAAGGGTAGATTAAATGATACTTAACAGCGAGGATAGGTTAAAAACATTATTTCTTCTCGCACATTCTTTAATTGCTTCAATTTTTGAAAATTTTTGTATTCCTTTTCATAAGTTATTCGGGATTTAAATGGAAGTAGTTTGGATATGGCGTATATTCGTCTCAGGCTGAATATCTGTTGGTAATTTACTTACTTCGTTTTGAGCCATTTCTGGCTCCAATTTAATCAGCAATCGACACAAAAGAGAATTAAAAAATATTGACTCAAAACTGACAACTAAAGAGACAGCTTTACTTATTTGTCAAATTACATAGAAACCAACGCCAACCCAGCACAATATTTTTTCTACTCGTAATAAATTCCTTGAAATAATAATGTCTGAATATTTTTTAAAACGTAACTCGCTATGAAAAAAAAAATATTGTTTTATACACGACTATAAAATTGCATTATCGTCTCCCGAAATTAATTCTTTTTTTCGGTCCCGAAATTAAATCTTTTCGGTAGATGATAAAATACCATTTTATCGTCTTGTATAAAAAATAACTATTTCCACATTAGTAGAAGATGTCTTCTAAATGGTCAGTCAGTTTATTTGTGAATTATATTTCTGAAAAGATCAGTTTATTTTGTTATTGTATGTGACTATTCATAACTATGTTGTGGTGTTATAACTATTCAATAAAAATGATGTGTAAATTTAGACAAAAAAAAGTAGCAAAATAACCGTTCGGCATTTAACGTTTGTGTAAAACTGGCTAGATATTTATACACAAATGAAGAAGGAAATTAAAGATAAAGGATTGTACTATGTCGGTATTGTAGCACATTTTAGACAACTTATTTATTTTTAAGATTTTGTTTGTCAAACATCAACAAAATATACGTTATGTTTGGACTAAAATTTCTCGAAAATAAAGACTCAATTTAAAATTCCGTTGCGATACCGACATAGATCAAAGTTTTGTGATTACAGTGATATATAATTTATATTGTTTTGTCACAAATTGCTCGCTATTTTATGGTAAATGCTAAAGCGCTGCTTTTCTATAGATTATAAAATCATAAATATTTGGTAACCATCAAATATTTTGATATACCGTTTAATAAAAAATCACCTATACACATCATAATGTCAAGTAAAGAAAATACTAGTAAAGGTGAGTTCTGCTGGCTAATTTTCTGTTAGGTTCTATGTTTATTCACTAAAATTTGATGTGTCCAGAACCAGATATAGTACATTTATCTGTTAGAAGAATTAAATGATTAACTCTTCTAGTTTATATTATAATTCTATATCGTATTTTAAAATTTTATATTATTTAATATGAGTTTACAACAGAGCAAACAATATTTATTTGTTTAAAATTTGTTTTAACTTGTAGTTTATTATGTTCAAAATAAATTTAACTAAGTTTATTAGATATTTTAAAAACTAATATTTAATTAATTAAAATATACACTCCTCACACTGTAAAATTATGGTGTACTTTAAAATTAAATATATTTTTTTCTAGTGGGAAGATTTTGATGATTTTTAAGAAATTTGGAGCTAAATTATTTAATATTTTAATACCTCTTTCTGAATTATAAATTAGAGTAACTGCCAAACAGGCAATAATTATATGATTTTTCAAAGACAGTGACATTGCATAACTCAATACTATTTCATAGGTCTGTTCACTAGGACCAAAAGCAAAAACATGGTTTTAATATAAAAAATACGAAAGAATGTTATTGTCTTCTTCAAAAGCAAATATCTAAAAAAAAAGTTATTGAGATGAATAAAAAACAAACTATCGAGAAAATATACACCTAGATGACAAAATTATTTTTAAATTCTTTGTTTTGTTAATGTACTCTACAAGGTCTTCAAACTTTTACCAATATGTCAACAATTTGTTTTCCTTCGTATAATTTATAGATGGAAAAATTCATTTTTAATTTAGAAAGAAGTACTAAAAAGTCAAATCATTTATCTACAAATTGCTTAAAAAATCATCAAAATCGGTCCATCGTGCCGGTGAATGTATTATTATTATAATTTATTATACTAATTTTTATAATTTACTTTTTCCTAAAAATATCGCTATAATATTTATTAAGTAAATATACAGTCGAAATAATATTGTGATATTCACTGCCAAATAGAATACGTATTAGCTTAGATAAATATAATTTTTAAAATATAAAAGTTACATGCACGTAAAGCCAAGTACACAACTTAAGCATGTTTGTGCTTTCAAGCCATGTTATTCACATTATTTTTTATCAATATTTAAGCAATAATATCTAAACAACATGTAACGTCCAAACTGAGAGCAAACCTACACGTATGTTTTACGGAGGTAACTTTGTATACGTGTGTACGCGGCTTTACACTGCTAATTCAACACCTAGAAAGACCCGAAAAGAAGCAGTTCACCCTGCATTAAGGTAGATCATAAATAGCAGCATATACAGCTAAAAATGAGTAGAAAGAAGTAGAAATGAAGGTATGACAACAAAATATGACATGAAACGACACTTACTTTGGGGCGATATCTGACCCCTGCTGCATCAACGACCCAATGGTGAACCAGAGGGAATTTAACAGGGTGAACTGGTTCTCTAGGACGTCGGGATCACTGTTGCATGGGTGCGGGTTGTCCCATTCGTAAGGGCTGAACCTGCAACCATCAGGACAGTGTTACTTAAACTAATTGTGGGACGCGTTTTGGTAGTGGAAGAAAACAAATGAATTTTGTAAACATGTTAAAATGAAATTATACATTTCAGGAGATTTAATTTTTAAAATATTTCCGCAAAACATTAATAGTCGCAAGTATATGTTTATTTATTAATTTATAATAAAACTTTCAATGTTCTGAAATTGACATTTTCTTAATAATTCAAAATATGTTTATTTTTAAAAAATAAAAAGTAATTCTGACTTGAGTGGGTATTTACAAAATATAAGCCAAAGCCAAAAGACCCTTAAGTCAATAAACTTGTTTGTAGACTATCGGTAAATCCTATATTAAGAAGTTATGAAAAGTTCACCACTATTAAATTCAAATTTATATGCTAGCGTTCTGCTCACATCTATTTGCTAACTAGTCATCTTATTGTTAAGCAGAAAATATATATTTGCATATTGGTAATATATTGAGTATTTATTTTTGGTTTATAATAACTTTAACATCGTTTAGTTCAATAAATGAAATTAATTTTTTTTTGAAACTACTACCTACTGGTTTAAATTTGATCTGGTTTAAATTTGATTTGATTTGAAAAAAAATCAAATAATATTAAAATATGTTAATTAACCTTTTAAATTATGTCAGTATCAAATTTTATTACGTAAAATTGATAGGAGAATATTTTATACAGGGTTATTCACGGTGATGCGTATATTAGACATTTATGGAGAACCAGTGATATATATTTTTTTTAAAAATTTGTATTTTTACATAAAGGCACCTGCTTGAACCTACATTATTTTCAGCATTACAGAAACGCTGCTTCATTTGAAAAGTAGTATCATCTTTGATTTTTTAAACTCCATGTATAATATTAGGTTTTTAAAGTACTTTCATTAAATCCCTAACGATTTCCGTTCCTCCTCTAATAGTTTTCGAAAAAAATGATCTCTAAAAGCGGTAAAAATATGATTTTAAATAAGCATTGCTAAAATAATGAATTGGGCATATTGAAAATGAATTACTTACTTGCTAAATTTCTAAAATTGTCACGGTAGGAATTCTTTGTAATGAGACTATAATAATTGAATTATTAATATTTAAATGGCTCTATTAAAGAAATCAGAAGGTTTCGGTATGACAGATAATACCTTTAAAAAGTATTTTTAAAAGTCTTCTAATTTTATAAATAATATAGGTACATTGGTTTCAATTTAAAATAACATAGATTTAAGCAATTTTATAAAAAAAAACGGAAATAAATTATTTTTTTAACTCCTTGTATGATATCCATTTGGTTACTTAAGACAGATCGAATATATTACCATGATCTCAAATTTATATATTCAGTATGTTCAATTCATGATTTAACCAATGCTTATTCAAGATCATGTTTTATATTTTTTCTGAAAAACTACACTCTACTACCGACCGGTACGAAAAACGGGCACATATAAAGTTCTTAAAAGTTCAATATATTTTGAACAAGTGCGCCAATTTTAATGATTTTTTTAAGCAATATATAGATAAATTATTTGGCTTTTTAGTGTCTCTTTCTAAATTAAAAATGAAAGTTCGCATCTGTCATTTATACGAGGGAAAGCAAAACGTTGATATTTTGGTGAAAGTTTGAAACATCCTGAGTAAACATCATGAAATATTAACAAAGCAAGGAATTTAAAAATAATTTTATCATCTAGGTACATCTTTTGTCGATAGTCTGTTTTTTATTCATCTCAGTAGCTTTATTTTTATTGAAAATATTCGATTTTGAATAAGACAGTAACGATTTACAGCAATTTTAGCATTGAAAGCATACCTTTGTTATTATAAAATAGTGTTTGTCCAAAAAATCCTTTATGGGTATTTCGCCACTGCACTGCAAGAAAAATCTACAAAATAAAATAGTTATTTTTTGTAAACACTTCTGCGTTAAACCTAAACGGACGCTGCTTGTCAGAAGTTGTGTTTACAGTAATAAAAATTTGCCTAACAAAGAAAAAATGCTTAACGTTTCGGAAAGTTTTCTCTTTCCGTCGTCGGAAGCAAAAAAAGTATAAAGAATCAAGAAAAAACGATTTAAAATATTTAAATTGAACTATTCGAGAACACTTTACTTTTAAAACAGATACGTCTACAAGAAATCGTTGACGTTCTGTTAAAATGACATTATATTAAGTTAAACTTCAAAATTAACAATTACTACCTGATAACAATTACTTAATAAGGTAAAACCAAAAAGCCCAAACTTTCTGTATGAATATTTTAAAATTTTACGTATGTTATGTTATGTTCTTTAAAATCAAAGAAGCGATTGCCATACATTACTAACATCTACAGATGCATGAGCAATACATTTATTTTTGTTAGATTGAATTAAAAAAGCCTCTTTTATTTTTCTTTTAGAGGCTATCGCTTCTTTCATTTTTTCAAGATTCTTTTCATTCTGTGCCCTGTGTCCCTTGAATGCTGACAAATCTTAGATTTGTGAAAATCTCCCTTTCTTAAATAATCTTTATGTTCTTTAATTTTAACATTTAAGGGTCTAAATGTTTCACCAATGTAAAATTTATCGCATTCACAGGGTATTTGGTATATTACATTTTTTGTTTGTTGTTCTGTATTTATTGGTTTAGTATGTGATAAAATGGATCTAAGTGTATTTTGTGTTTTGAAAGATGTTCGTATGTTATATTGTTTTCCTATCCTTCTTATTTTTTCCGAAACGCCTCGTATGTATGGAATTGTAAGTTGTATATATTGTGTATTGTTATCATTGTGTCTATGATTTGGGGTTTGTATTTCGTTTAATGTTTTGTCAATAAAATATGGCGGATAGTCGTTAAAAAAAACTTTCCGAAACGTTAAGCATTTTTTCTTTGTTAGGCAAATTTTTATTACTGTAAACACAACTTCTGACAAGCAGCGTCCGTTTAGGTTTAACGCAGAAGTGTTTACAAAAAATAACTATTTTATTTTGTAGATTTTTCTTGCAGTGCAGTGGCGAAATACCCATAAAGGATTTTTTGGATAGATGAATCCGCCACATAGGTATAGACATTTTTTAAAATAGTGTTTGTTGTTTTTCTAATCAAAAGTCATATTATTATTGTTTATTTATGTTTTTGTTTTAGTTTTAAGTTCTAAAGTGTCGGATATTGCTGCTTTAATTGATCATGGTAGAGATCAACTTTTGAACTTAAAACCATCTCTCCCAACAGACAAGAATTATATGATTTTTCATAGACAACAACACTAATTTATAGGTTTTTTGAGGAGGACCAAGAGCATAGGTATGACTGTAATGTAAAAAATACGAAAAATTTTAGTATCTTCTTCAAAAGCGAATCTCTCTATTGCTATCGAGATGAACCAAAAAAACAAACTATCGAAAGAATATGATAAAGCTATTTTTAATATCCTTGCCACATTAATATACTCCACAGGGTATTTCAAACATTCACCAAAATATTAACATTTTCTTTTCCCTCGTATAATTTACAGATGGGAATTTTGATTTTTAATTTCGAAAGAAATATGAAAAAGTCAAATAATTTAGCTACAAATTGCTTAAAAGTTATCAAAATCGGTCAACTAGAACACAATCATTTTAAAATACATGAACATTTTAAGGTGACTGTTCGTACTGGTAAGTGTATTAATGATATATACAGGGTGTTAATGATATATACAAGCAAACTACCCTTTATTTTTAGCGAGGAACTACCCACTGAAGTTTTTCGCTTTTGTTTTGAAACACCCTGTATATATGAGTATAAGAAATGAAAGTAATTGCTATAATGTAATAATATATCGGATATTCCATTAAAGATACGACTACTTTTGAAATGAGGCGGCACAAATTCAACGCTGAAAATGGTCTAGACAAATCACCTTTTCTTTATAAATGGCTAAACTACGATGAATCACTCACTTTTAAACTCCCAAACTGCCCTTTACATTTTTTTTAAATGTACTCTGTTTTCATGTTTCTATTAATTTAATTTAATATACAGGATAAAAAAATAAGCAGTAACATTTTTTTAATTAAAATATAAACTGGGACACCTATTTTCCAGGAACAAACAACCTAGGTTTGATTAATGTAACTATCCAAAATCAAATTAATTCTAGAAAATCAAGGAATAAAGGTTGTTTCTCAATATTCTCTTGAAAAAACTGAAAATCCTTTTACTAAATCTCTCCGAGATTTTAAATCTTTAATTTAATTGAATTATTAATCTCTTCCACTAAACCAAAACACGTCCAAAATCTTACTTGGGTAGGAAATCGCATCCTTGTTGCATCAGCGATCCGATGGCGAACCACATACAGTTAAACAATGTAAATTGGTTTTCCAAGCGGTCGGGATCGGGATTGCACGGGTGGGGATTCTGCCATTCGTAAGGCGTAAATCTGTAAAGAATCACACTGAACCACGGTGTTGTAAAGCACGAGGTAATTTAAATTTCAAATGAAGAACACGTTGTCGAGTTCTTTGGTTTCTCTAGCGCAGTAATCTGGTTATTTAAGTTTTCTGTAAACTTTAAATAGAGGAATACTTTTTTTATTACACAGAGTGAGTCTTAAATAAGTGCAAATATTTTTAGGGCTGGTAGATCTCGATAAAAGAAACATATTTTCTCTTAACCATTTTTCAAATAAATCCAAAATAACCGAGTTATTTTACTTTGAAAATTTCCAAAAAATGTTCTCTTAAATTTTGAGAACCACTGGATCTTTTCCAGATTTTGTTTCTTCTAAAATGATGTTTTTTAACTAAAAAACATAATTTCTTTTAAAAAAAATCCAAATTTTCAAAAAGAAAATGTCGCGAAAAGTTAAGATGTTTAGGACATATATCCATATTAAGTTTTTTACTTAGAATTGATCCAAGAACTATCTCCTTAAATATTAGCATGTCATTAAGGAACACCCTGTATAATCCTAAATTATTATTAATTTTGTTTTGATAGTTAGTATCACAT